TGCTGAGTTGCTCTTAACCTTGCTCTGATTTCAGCCAGGAAAAAGCCCACATCGCTCCTGTTTTCACCTGCTGTGTGAGTGTGAAATACCCTCCTGGACTCTGCCTCTGCAAGAGGCGGTTAATAAGGAGCATTTCTAGAAAGGGCGACATACAGGAAGGAACTGTCCGTCCTGTTGGTGACGAGGTCACGCTGCCAGAATTGTGTGGCAAATTGAAGGTTTGGTTTTAGGTTTTTTGATCTTTGCATATGAAACACTGATCTGGGAGGTTTTCAGGTTTCGTGTCTTCTTGGTGGCTCAGGCTGTAGAATGTCACCTTTCAGTGCAAACACTAAATGCTGGGTAAGCAATGCAAACACACCCTGCTGTACCGAATGCTGCGGGTGGCTGCTGGGTCTGGGACGCCTTTGTTCTCGGCAGCCTGGATCAGTGTCTGAATTACCCCATGCTTTTCAGAAATACTGAAGATAAAGGCGGGTGTTGCTGGCAAGCACCTAGTCCTTGCTCCCTTTCTACATGTTGAAGCTGAGGCTCGTTCTGACCTGCTCGGGCTTTCCCAGCCTGGTGCAAGCTTTAAGATTCACCATCCTTTCCCCAGCAGTCTTTTGTTCTGCCAGTTTTTTAACGGCAGAGGGTAGTCACCGTGCTGAATGTGGTTTGGGGTTTCTGACCGGATGCAATTGCACAGTTGAGGTTTGCATCTTGTACAGGGGGTGTGCCGTGGGACTCACAACAAATCCAACTGCCGTTCCCCTGGTGGAGGCAGCTCCCCTGCAGTAGCATGGGAGATTGCTGTAGGTAACAGAGGAGCTGGAAGTGTTCATCAGGGGCTTGAAAGGCAATGTCCATGGCTACTGCTGGGCCCCTTGGTGGGTGCTTCTATAGAGGATATGAGCTGTCCGTTTTGATTGTGTTTTATCCACCTGATGTGCTGACTGAGCTCTTTGGTGTAAATTAAAAGAAAACAAACCAGTACAACCTTCCACTGTTGCTAGTAGTAAACACTTTCTTTTTCTGTTGCTGAACATAGAGGTTTTGACAAGCACTTGGCAGCCTGGCAGCTACGCTTGGCTCCTTTCGTTCTGCCAAACTGGAATCAGCTCCTGTGGGAAATGGTGGCGTTTTGAGCACATTGTCTTCGGCTCTGGCTTTCTATCCACACAGCTGGTACTGGGAAGGTTGATACTTCTTTCTTCTCAGAGGCTACTCAAAGTCAGAATTTGGACCTTAATGCCTAAGGTCTCATGTTCTCCATAATGATATTAAATACAGAAAAAATATTTTATTCCTCTTTCCACAATGCAGAGTTATCGACTTTTCTCTGTCCCATCACCGGTAGAGCCAGGAAATTATTTCATTGCTCTTTCCTTCAGTTCGGATCTTTAACCAAAAAAACCCCACTCTTTTCCTCCTTAAAAAAAGAAGAAGAAAGAGAGAAGAGATAAATGTTTTTTCCATGTTAGTGATAGCCAAGTGTTTCCAAAGCCCAGTTAAAAAAATTCCAGTTTTAACTGTCAGAATGTTTTTTTTCTAGAATAATATTTTCTGTCTTTTTTTCTAGTTACTGCTTGTTAGATGTTGTATTGTTGTGGTTTATCAATATTTTTAGGTCCCTGGATGCCGAGGCTTTGTGGACCAGATTCTGCCACATGACCAAATTCCAAGAGATTCTGCAGGCAGGGTTTGGTGTTATTTATTTAACTCCTGAGCTAGTTGGAACTAAGCACACTGCTGTATGTCTCACCTCTGTGCACAATGCAGCAGAAGAGCCCAGGTCACGAAGGAGCCCAGCTGGAACAGCACACACGTGGTGTGACTCATGCTGTTGGCGGTGCTATATTTATCTCTGCCGCTCTTTGGTGTCATCCCTTTCCATCGCATAGAGAACATGTCCTGTGTCTTGTTCACGTACAAGTGAAATCCTCGGTGTCTGAACATGGAGGATACAGAACATCTCTTGCCTGGTACAACTTGGTGTGTCACTGAAGCAGAACTGATCCGTCTCTATCAAGCAGCTTCCAGAAGTAGACAGCAAACAAGTGAGCCAGTGTGTGCCTTTTGGGGACAGACTTCTGGGAATTTTATTTTATTCTTATGAATCAGTATATCTGTCAGTGACCTGATGATGTTTTCCTTTCCTCTTGAGGCCTTAGGAGACTTTGTGTATCTCACATTTTGTTTTGTCTGAAAAAAGATCCATGTGGTCTAGGGAGTTATGGTTGTACTAGGAGGTGGGGGACTGCGAGCTTTGCAAGTTCTCATTCCCTGTGGGAGTTAGCAGGCAGTGCTTAAATTATAATAACTGACCTCCTAAAAAAGCCTTGTATTTTGATGGGCAGTCATATATAGCGTGCATGTGTAAAATAACTTGGAGGAGAACTCTTCTGTGATTCACACCTGTTTCAGTTCTTATCCTGCTGGAAGTCAGTGGTGTGGTGGAAGTGGAGGCTTTTCCCCAGATGCTGTGTCACGGATGCAGTGAGTTACTGCCGGGCTCTGCTTTGGGTGGGAGGGTTCTGTGAAATCACACCTAATTGCTGGCGAAAGCCTCTGCAGATTCCAGTCTCACCCTAAGCTGGGCTGGTTTGGTTAATATGAGATTTAGATGGAAGCCAGCTGCTCTCCTCGGTTTTCACAGTGCCAGTGCCGATGCCAGGTTGTTTTGCAGAAGTGAACCAGCCTTTCTCACTTTCCCTGCAGAATATTACCGTAGGGCTGCACATATTTGGTGGTTCACACTGCAGAATATACTTTACTGCAGTCGGTGAAAAGACTTCAGGGTTGTTTGGTTTTTTTTTTTAATGCAAACAGGACATATTTCAGTGTCAGTGGACTGCAGAGTATTTTAGATCTGTTCAAGTGAATGGTTTGTGATTAAAACACGGTGAGCTTTAAACAGTACGAAAACCAAGGAAATACTGCAGAAGGTTCCTGTCAGCTCCTTAGTTTTATTTCTTAACCTTTGCTAGCCTTGCAAAGAACCTGAAAGACCAAGAGTCTGTATGCCTCAGGATGCTTTGTCGTTGCAGAGCGTGGCCAGGGCTGGGCTGCACTCACCCGCCCAGCGATGTGAACTCTCTTCTGCAGGAACCTTGTTCTGCTCCGTCCCGCACCTTGTGCGCTGACGCTGTGGCGCATGTGTTCTCATTATTCTTCTCTTCTGGCAGCTAATGGGGCAGGATGGAGTTGGATCGCTGGCTGCACAGCTGCGCAGAGTGATTAACACAACTTTTCCGACACGGAGACTCCTCGCTCGCTCTTTCGCATTTTGATGCAGATGTCTTTTAGCATCTTGCAAGGTGGGATCAGCACAGGTCACGCGGGCCAGGAGGCTCTCCTCGCCATCCCTCTCTGCCTTTGCAGCTGTGTTTGCTTTCTCGTACCATTTACGTGTGGCATCCCTGTGTGCTGTGCTGGTCTGGACGCCTCTGTTGTCCGGGCATGCTGCCGGCAGCTGCAGGTCTGCGGGTCCCCAGGAAGCCAGCTGATAACTCACCAGCTTTTCATCCGCACCAAGCCCACTCTGAAAAGCGCTTTGTTGTGAGCTGCAGAGCACACAGATGGCAGGACGCTGCTTGTCCCCAGGCTGTCACATTACTCGCCGTTCTCATAAACGGGGTGTGTTCGTGGGGGCCTGCGGCCTTCCAGAGCCTTTTTCCAAATAGGATTTGATACAAAGGAGAGAAAAGCAGCAGCATCTGCACCGACAGTGACGGCTCGGGGGCATTAATGCATTTCCCAGGCACGCGCTCCGCTGGCGCGTGAGCCCCGCAGCCGTGGATGCGTCCTCTCCATTTGCTGCCCTTGCCTCCCGGCGGTGGGTGGGAGATGCCGTGTGAGCGGGAGCCGCCCGTGAGCTCTCGCAGCCCAGCGACTGTGGTGGTGCGGGTAAACCCAGCGCATATTTGTGGTTAAAACTGGGCACAAACCTGGCTTGCAGCCAAGGCTGTGAAACCTGGGCTCCTTGCACAGGCAAGAACCGACTCCTCCTGGGAGGCACAGGAGAGAGGAGAAGGGCATAACTCAGCTCTCGAGCTGTCAGAGAGATTTTATCTTTTGTTCTTCTCACGTACTGCATCACCAAAAGAGCTCTTGGGTGGTCGCAGCCCCCTCACCCCCCGCCCACTGCTCTGGACAGCAGCACCGCCTAGCGTGGGCTGCTTTTCCCTTGGTCAGATGTTTTCATTCCACAGGCACTGAGATGCAGACTGATGAGTAATTGCTTTGTTTTCCCATAAATATTGAGAAAATCTGAAGCTGGAGAACAGGGCTGTATTTTTCACGCGGTCGCAGAATTTGGAGAGAGGGTTTAACAGAACTCTGGCCCTGCTTGCATCTTTGGTAGTGTTGGTGAACTTGGAGAACGTTGGTAAGCAGCTGTACGCGGGCACATTTTTCCAGATGTGCGTGGAGCCGCTGAGAGATCAGGTGGAGATGGATGCGCTGGGGTGTTGGGCTGCAGCGGGGTCGCGCCTGTCGCCGTGCTGTTGGAAAAAACCAGCGCTGATGAGCCGGGGTGGAGCTGGGAAACTGCAGCTTTTGTCGGCAGCTTTGTGGCCGTCATGTCACGTAAGGAGATGGTCCTCACCATAACTTCTTCAGGGCTTCCCTTCGTCCGCTCCCTCCGCACCGCTGGGGCCGTGCTGCCCCGTCAGCGCTGCTGTGGGATGGCCGCGCTCGGGGCGTGCCCAAAGCTCTCCCTAGACGTCACCTCACGTCCCCAGAAGCCTTACGGAAAGGTTGAGTTCCCAAAACCTCTGCACCCCTGACCCTTAACCTCGCCCTCTTGTCTGTCGCTTAATGAGGAAACAGCGAGACACAGGAGTGGCACGGGGCGGTTGCGGCAGACACGAGCCCGCGTCGGCCCTTTGGTGGGAGCGGCGGAGGACAGGACGGTCTGTACCGGGGCATGGTGCTGGGTGTTCTCCCTGGTGTAGAAGGCCTCTGGTGTTGCACCCTTAGTAACGATGCTGTCTCTTTCGTGTGCCTGGCAGGACAGGATGCCGCAGACGCCTGCCTGCACCGCCGTGCTCGGCAGCGGGGGGT